TGGCCATTGATGGTTGTACGCATGGAAGACCGATATTGAAAACAGGATGCGGTCCCTCACTTCAGGCAAGAATCCCCATTTGTAGCAGCTGCGATGAAGCTGGCAGCCGATATCGTACAGAACACCGACACGATAAGAGGTAGGGATATGTTGGAAGTATTTGTGAAGGAGGGCCAGAGCGTAATGTTGACGTTCGCCCGCTGTCGTGATGTTGGCAAGCCAGAGCACGCGATCGTGACGGCACATGATGGCCATTAATCCGGTGTCGTCAAAGAACTTTGTGCTAGCCTTCTCTCGTTCCTCGTCGGCGGCCTTGAAAGAGGCCTCGCAGCCATCGAGAACGGAATTCGGGACCCGCAGGGGTCCTTCGCACTTGTCGGTTTCGACTTCGGTCTCCGTCTTTTTGCGCTTGCCTTTCCTCGAATGCGGCGAGGAGTCTGAGGGCAATTCCAACGTTTGCTTCGGGCGAGGTCTGCTGGGGCGCAAACGCTCAACTGTCGCCTCCATGTCCGCCACCTCCGCGTCCGACAGAAACACACTTGATGGATGAATATGCTGAGGATCACGAAGGCCGGATCGTCTCTTCTGCGTAAAGCATGCGTCTAGGCAAGCTATAACATCAACACTGCCGAGGAACATTAGAGTACACACCGAACAAAAGGCAATGACACATACGTCGCTGAGGGATCATGGCCAGTTTTGCCACCAAAGCATAAAATGCAGCGTGATTGCAGATAGCGGCCCGGCCGATCGCCATTGGCGTACTGGCCTGGCCTGGCTGCATGCCCGAGTTCAGGAGATGTGGCAGCCTGGCTGCCAGATTCAGCAGCAGAAGCAAGTGGTCTGGGCGCATGCTCGATGTCGGGAGATGTGACGTCCGGGGCGCAAGATTCAGCAGATGATTCAACCACCCCAGTGTCGCGCTGGTGGGAAGCAGGAGGACAATTACCGCCACTGGGCATGGCATCAGGCACGGTGTTTGTCGACGCGGACGTCCGGACAGGAGGATTGCTGATTTCGCGGGCAGAGGGAACATCCTCAGGGGTAAGGGGATGAGGGGAAGAAATAAGGACTGTCGGGGCTGAGAGTAGAGGTCACTTGAGCGGACACGTTGCGACCGCATATAGGAATCCACATACCGGCGGGGAACATAGACGACCCTTTAGCCTTCTTCTCCAGGAAAACTAGCGCACTCTCTACTGCATTGGCTGTCCTCTTCGCAACCTCGTTGACCAAATGCGTGAACCACTTAAGTGCGTTACCATAACGTCGTCGAAGAGTATCCTGAAAGTTTTGGATCAGTTCACCTCGAAAGGAACGGATTGATTCTATGCCATACCCTCGTACGGAGCTTATATCCTCTACCCTCCAGAAAAAACTCGAGCGTAGCCGTCCAGGCCGTGACATTGGGGGCGAGGTGCAGGAACAAAATCCTGGTAAACTCCAATAGCTTGATGTCTACAGCAAGAGTGGGTCGCAGCGGAGCACATGGGAAAAGACCTTCGAGGACGAGCTGGTGTGCGATTGAAGAGCAATTGCATAGAGCTAGTTCGCGTTGCTCAAGACCTGAATTCAAGATAGGTTAGTGCGGAATCGTGGAGGACGATAACCACTTACGATCCCAGAATACTACTAGGAGCGGGAATTTGCTTGTGGAATCTTGACAGCGGCATTTAGTCGAGGCTTGATCTTCGGAGCGTCTGTTCTCTGTGAGGCGCATGTAGTCCATGTACGGCTCTATGAGCTCCGGGATCGTAACTTGTTGCCAGCGCTCAGAATTTCTCTGCTTTTTCAGTCTATATTGCTTGGCTCGTGCTTTCTTCGACTCCTCTTCGGTGCAGGGTGGGGGAGGGTGATAAATGGGCGACGAAGCACGGAAACTTCTCGGCGAAGACCATCCTCCTCCATCTTCGTCTTCTTCAGCGTGTTCGAGCCAGGTCTGAGGTGAAGCAGGAAGCTGGGATAGGGTGCGATTGCCAGGAAGGAATGCGATTGGATTTGGTTGACCTGGTTTAGGAGGGGGAAGGGGCGCAAATCTTGACAACTTAGGACCTTCTTGCAGTCGAAAATTGCGCTTGACTTTTTTCTTCGGAGACTGCTTGAACGCGCGTCGGGAATAAACCATGGCGAAGACAAATGTGGACGGCACAACCGAGCAAAGTCTTTTGATTCGCGGGTCATCCAGCAAACCTTCCAAAATAGGTTAGCACAATGGAAGGTGAATTTTTTTGATGGTAACCTGCCTAGTTACCAGCCGTTGGTAGCGGGAGTCCTCGGCGCCGTAAGAAGTCTCGGTCGGGGAATTGCCGTGGTAGTATGGGTGCGCGATCGAAGACCTTGACGAATGCACGACAATATGCCAGGCAAAGGGCGACCTCCAAGGCGCGTATTGCACTTGGTTTAACAGAGGTCGTCTTTGATAAGTCTTGCAAGCTTGCTCGAACATCGGACGGAAGCACAGCCGCGCCCTGCCAGTTCCAGTCTCGCATAACTTCTCCCATTCGCAGCAAGCGTCTAAAGCCGTCCAGTCCACTTGAAAAATCCCAAGCGGATTCGGCACGCGGAGCAGAAACCGGAATCCCGAGGGTGTCGCCGAGGAAAGGAATGATGAAAAGGATTCGGTCACAGGGGTTTTGCTTGGTCAATTTCGCATCGAGTGAGCGGAACTCCAGCGCAAAATGAACATTGCATAGCTCAAAAAGAATGAATGCCATGACTGTGGGATTCTGGATGAACAACGGCTCCAGGGGTTCGTTCCACCAAGCTAACACGTTCGGATGAAAAGCTTGGGGATGCGTATGGCGTTGCGGCGCGTCGTCAAACAAGAGCTCGTTCGACAGTCCAATCGACGCCCTCATGCGAAGAATTTTCGTGACTTCGTTGATCTTCCGCGGCAGCTTTGCTTGCCGGACGTCCGGGGATAGGACGGCTGAGATGTCGGGGCCTAAGATCCAGTGCTTCCACAGCCTGCCAGATAAGCACGTACTCCCGCTTGCTTCAGCGTCCTCCGTGATGTCGAGGGCCGTCTTAGCGGCGGAAACGCGCTTGAATGCATTGAAGAGCGCCGGGTGGAGACGCATATAATTAAGTGTCGCAGTTGCGGCACCGGTGTCGAATTCCTCAAAGAGGAGATACGGGTCAGGGGCCCAGAAATGTCCACCACGCAAGACCACAGCGGGGTTGGACTCGATTTCAGACGCGACGGTACCCAGCGCTAGATCCCAGCAAGGGAAGCCAAGCGGGCAAAAGCGATAACCAAGACCGTCCCAAGGGTGGAAGCGACGGAGGGCACGGGAGCGGAAACGTGCCTGCTCCGATAGTGATTCGATGCACATCTCGTCGGTGGTCATAGATGGTGCGTCGCCTGCGGCTTCGGTAGGTAGCAGTAAAGTCCTGATCAAAGGATCTATTGGAAAATCAGTATATGCATATACATACGACACGAGCAACTATGACGACGAACCATACACCCTGTCTAAGCTTCGAATCATGGATGGCTCGATCCAGAACAATTCGGATCCTAGCATGGAAGCGTTAGCGAGCCGCAACCAACTTGGAAGAGGCAGGAGCACGTACTTTCATTGTTTCGGCTGATTCCTTGTCGGCTCGTGATAGAGCGATGCAAAGATGATTCCGCAGCTAAACCAGGTACTTCGCGACGCTGTCGCGTCAAACCGACTCGGGATTCTGCTCAAATGATGTAAGTTGAGTGTCCGAAGAGTCCGCTATTATGCAAAGAGCTTACCCTGCAAAACAGCTGTTCTCTTTGGCAACGGCCGCTCCTCTTCCGACTGCGGTCCTGAATCGTCAAGTGTTCGATCAATGGGCAGGTTATTGACCCTCATAGCTGGTGGTCGTGAGGGAACTAGGAAGTTTGCGGGACGACCGGGCTGCGATTGTCTTGTCGTCGATGGAAGGTAGCGTGGGCGCTTGCGCTCCAAGTAATTGGGGCTCTGGAGGCTCTTGCGCTTACGCGATGGACATTTCTTGACGGGTTTGAAGTCAAGACTGTCCTGCGCTATAGAGAAATCAGTGAGAATTCTAGAAGCAGCAGAAAAACGTACATGACGAGCCCATACCGTTCACATCCATGTACACGTTGTTGGAGGTCTGATTGCGCGTTTCTGTTGCAAGATCCCGGTTGAGCGGTGGTGAATGCGTCGAGCGCGTCGATGGTACGAAGATGTGTCGCTTCGATGGAGGGCCAACCTTGATTGCCCCATCAGGCACTGCGTGGTGATTAAGACCAGTGGACCACGAAAGCTGAAAGAGCACTTACTTGTATGATCCGAGCTCTCGCGTGTGGCGGGGGGATGTCGTGTTCCAGTAGGAGAGATCATGCTGGCAGCGGACCCCGACGGAGATAAGCGACTTGCGTGATTGGCAGAGGGATCGAGCATGATGGGACATTGTAGGGATTTGGTGGACAGCCGAGAGGCGTCCCCGACGGAAAACACGCGAGCTGGGACGACGCAAAGGTTTGAAGGATCCGGGAACTCGTTGAAGCTGGCTCTTTGAGGACCTTCCTCGCCGTCGTCGCTGGTAAGAGGCGTGAGGGAGGAATCGGAGACGTTTGCCGGCGGAGTCCTGCGTTTCTTCACCGTAGACGATGACGCTTCAGGTCGTCTTGCGGATTGTTGTCGCGATGCGAGGACCGTATTACGAGTGTTCTTGCGGGTCATATTGATGACGAGGTGAGAAACTCAGTGGTGAAAAGCCGACGCAATATCTGAACCAGTAGCCAGTTCACGTTCTTCGCCCACCTCGACTAATTTGCGACATGCATATATGCGGCAAAACAGTGCGAGCAGAGCGCGACACGTAGGAGTGCGGCGTTCGCAGGCTATGCTATTTGCAGACGATATTCCCTGGACCGGGAAGGCGCAGGGATTATCGTTGTTGGAGGCGTGATGCTGGCTTGTTGCGCAATTACAGTTCAGAGTCGCCGGATTGCCGCGGCCAGAGGCGTCTCAGACAGCACGTGACGAAACCAATAAACCAATTCCCAGCACTTCGAAAGGGGCTAGACGGCGTTGAACAACGATTTTTGCGGGAACCACGTAAATGACATTAAACACGCCAGCAAGAGCACGAAAGCAATATATCAGAAAGGGCTACGACTACGACGCAACAACACAGAGCAATGGGGAGATGATTCGCGACTTCGAATAGGATGAACGGTTAGGCCACATTGGCGTCGACGTTCACGACGTTTACGGTGTCATCCTCTGGCAGCTCGGCGACATACGCGACGGCGGGAGCCTGAGATGCCTGAAGAAGGTCCGCGGCGGCAGGAGCCGGGGCTGGTGGGGCGGCGTGCCCGTAAGCGACCTCCCGAAGGTGCTCAAGGACGTTCGTGGCGGCGACGGCCTGCGCCTCGAGTAATGCTTGCACGGCATTCAGGGCTGCTCGAAGATCCGCATTATCTGCCACCAGTCGCGGAACCTGGAAATGGAGCTCGGCGCAGCCCCTGCAATGGAAGCCTACAAGGCCGTGGGGGTACCCGCGGCCTTGACCTGCAGCCGGTGATCAGCCTCGTCGAACAGCGTGCTGGACCGGGGTACACACCGTCACCGACTCCCATGGTATAAGCAGTGCTACTGTGAGCGGCCATCGCGGAAAGCCTGGTAGAACCTGGGATGAGGATCCATATCCAGGAAGGGAAACTTGAACGTACTGACGGATGAACTAGAGGGAGGTAAAAGCGAAGGGAGAAAGGTCGCCAAGGGAAAACCCGCGGTTTACGCCGCTTATATGTGATATATCCGGGCACGTGAACAAAGACGTAAATTAGGACTAACCGCCAGATCCAGGGGACACGAGATCAGAGTCCAGCTACAGGAAAGATACAAGATAGGATTCAAACCGATGCAAATGTAGACTTTCATATAATAGTGAATGAATGTGCCGCCAGGAGCTGAGCAAATGGGCAATTCTTGCGCGCGATGTGTAGTGAGGTCTATATCTGAAATGTGGTCTGTCCTGCATTCAATGAGTGAGCTGCACATCTCTTCCGATGCGACATCGCGGCAGTTGAATTGGCGTACCAGAAACTTCCCAACGTTACAGTGACTAGACGGCTGACGTCTACCCAGTGTCGGCGGCGATGATGACGCATATTCGAGATGTGTTCTGCCCTTTGTTCCATGAGTGAGCTGCGCATCTCTTGTGATGCAACATCGCGGCAGTTGGACTGGCGGACGAGAAGCTTCTGTGACGATACATTGACTGGCCGACATCTACCCAGTGTTGGCGGCGATGATGACGCCTATACAGATATACGATTTTCTTTACGACGTGTTATTCTTTCATCTCCCGGAGGAGCAGGAACCGTTTACGCCGCGCTGATCAGTGAGTAGTGGTTTGTGGATACTGCAAGTGAACTGACGAATTATCACGCACATTCCGAAGATAATTTCGTTGGTCCAAGAGCACACGGAGCTTGTCCCTACGCTGAATCAGAACACCACCGCATTGAAACTATGCAACAGTCAAACAGATTAGCGAACTCATTGGCAGGATATTTGTGGTTGCTATACGCGGCCCATTCTTGGAGGCAACCGAAGCGCTGGTAGCGCTGGCGTATACGCTCAGAGAAAGCGACCCTGCATGCATTCGAGGTCGTTCTGATACCACAAATGTTCGATGACCGGTAAAACCTCACCGGCGGTTTGTTTCGAAAATTCGCAGTGGATGACACTGGACGCTGCATGTTCATGCTTAATCTCGGAACGAGAAAGGCGCGGTGAGTCGTAATATGAAAGCAAAGTTCACAAATAGTCGCCAGGGATGAGGAATCGAGTTTCATTATGATCACGGAGTGCATACAAAGCAAAACCAGTGGAGAGGAACAAGCAGCGGGAGCACTAGAAGGAAAATCCCTCGTCTGCGTGAGTGGTCACATGATGCCGCCAGCAGCGACCTATCGATCTCTCTCTGGATTCTGAAGTTGTCGACCATTCGGATGCCGCCACCATCGGTTTCGATGTCGGCTATCTCTGGCTACCTCCATCGTCTCCACGTTCAACTTGAACTTTGGCTACGATCTTGAAATTGCTGGACGTGCCTGCATTCCATGTCGGCGCAATCCATGCTCTTCCTCGGCAGCGGTCGAACGTGCTCGCGCTACCTCGTCAGCACGTTTCGTGAGCGATCGTGATAGGATCGGCTTCCTCTCACCACGTTTGCCTCTGGGTCCTGGCCGTGCTTGCATTCAGATGTCAGCATGCTCCAGGTCAAGAGAAGGCTGCTGTCCTTGCAATGGCACGCACCACGCCTCCCGCAGGCCACGGTTCCCGCTCGACCCTCGACGAACGCAGACCCATGACATGAGTGCCAGAACCTACCTTGGGACGGAGGATGCTTTGTTATCGACCCCTCGATCGGTCCCGATTCTCAGGTATGCAAGTAATGATTATGCATATGCGTAATATGACTTCGTTACAGGTTTCTACCGCGCACGCGCATCAAGTCTATGTTACGAGTAGTGAGTACTTGCACCTCCGCAAGCGAAATTACATACGTTCACGACTGTTGATTCGTTTTCCGGTACACCTTTGATAGACAACCACGAAGCCATCCTCAAGGCTCTGTGCTCCTTTCAAGTTTTGCTCAAGGAACACTCGAAGATAGCGAACCTTTTGACTGTCAGCGTCATCGCGCGGCAAAGTGACCTCTGCGTGGGCGAGAACGTGTCGAATATAGGTGCGTGCGTTGATTCCACACTTCCTGCGAAGTCGGCCGAAGTTGCTCATATGCCATAAGGTCACCAATGAACACGGCGGCGGTGCCGTGGGCACCCCAGGATGCTCCATAAAAAATACGAGTTCCTGGGCCTGATAACGGTTAGTTTCGTTGAGTCCGTAAGAGGAAATCCAACCAAACCTCATCGCATCTCTCCACCCAATGTAGAAACCATGGGAAGGACGCCGAGTCATTCGGATCCTCCTCAGGAT